TTGGTGTAGCTTCTGGCATTAATAGGAGACACACTTTACAGTGGACTCCTCTTTATACTCCATCTTCAGCAGTGTGTCATGAATTTTAAGTGTGGAGATGTTTTTGTAGATGAATCTCCTGGAACTGGGTTCCAGGCCTCTGCATCATGATTGGCTGTGGTTTTATGTAGTCGTCTCTGACAAAGATACAGTTCTTTCAGAAATTTCCTACACATAGAATTAAGAATGTCTTCTTCAATGTTGCCACATTCTCTCCAATCTACAAATGATAGTTCAATGGTAGCACAAATCAATATCTGATTTGATTTAAAGCCCACTCCATATGATAAAGTCAATATTCTATGCTGTTTGGGTACTAAGATACTGAGACTACTTAGACCAGGAACATTGGGCAAAACCGAATACTACTATTCTACTAAAAGAACATAACAATAAACTGACTTCTAATGACATTCTGCACTATACTTGTAGATTAGTACATTGCTCAGCTGTCATCACAGAAGCTTCCTCCTACCAAATTAGAACAAATACAGAAACCTGCAGTCAGACATTGTACAGAAATTGAGAAACCTCTGAAGACTCAGCCCTAAAGTGGGTGTCTCTATCAGTTCCACACTCCTAATAGGACTCAGAGAACATTGGGCTGCACAGGTTTGCACCAGAAGCTGTCTTAGAGCTGAAAGGAAAGGTGGATACATGCTCCCATCCATAACCCAAAAGCAATCACCAATTGATAGCCACTTGAAAATGAGAAATTAAGGGTAGTTCCTATGCCTTTCAATACAGGAAAACAAACTCCATGGCATCTTTGGAGGCTCCTTGTCTCATATTGTCATACAAGTGATTTCTTCTTTTAATTTTAAGTTTTACTTTTACATGTAAAATATATCTGTATGAGTGATTTTCTTGATACATATCTATCAAAAAAAGTGCAATGTCCAAGTATATATTTTTCATATGAATTATTTAGGAAAAGAAATCTATTCTGGAAAGATTTGTTAACTTAATTGTGTTCCTGGCAGTCTAAAAATACCAATATAATGATGCAATAATAGTCTAGTCCATTGGAAATAGAGATGATGTGAAGAGTTCTTTATTCATGTAAAACTACCTACACAAATAAGTGAAGAATTATTTTATTGTTCTGACAGGAAAAAACCCAGGGGATTTCTGAAAATTGTTATAACCTGATGGAGGCTGCCTTAATATTTAGTCTTTGATATGTCATATTGTCTTGTATCCTTTACTGCATATCCAGTCCTGGAAGATATCTGCAACTTATGTAAGGGTGAGGAGAGATAGGGAACATCATTTAAGTCAGAAAGAAAGTCCTTAGGAATATTGTGAATGGATAAAAAGTTGTAAAATTCTGACCTATGTAAGAGATAAGCTATTACTGACTCCTATGAGTTTAGGCTTTTCTGTTATAGGAAAACTTTAGTGCCTAAGCAGACAGATACTGTCTTTGTCAATAATTAAAACAAAGCACTTTTGTTGTTTTTGCTTCACTATAATTGGCCAAAAGGAGACCCTATCCATAGAAAATTTTTGGGGTTTAAACTTTATAGCATCAAAATTGGTCTTGGACAAGATAATTTCCATGAATTAAGTCAATTTTATACAAATACAGCTTCTTTATTTCCCTATGAAAATATTTTCAGTAGATAAGGTTATTAAATTACCTTTGTATCATAAGCAATAACATAATATTTAAGGATTTAAAAAAAAACTTTTCCTCAATAAAAGAGGAGATGGTTTTCCCTACTAAAGGCAAATGAAAATGTTCATTATTGAAGCTATTTGTGGATAGTAGGTGAGTATTATTGCAATGTGCTAAAATGTAGCCAGTGTCTAAAGATAATATTGTGATGGTGTCTGGAACAGGAAAATTAATGTTGAAAAACACAAAAGTTAGTTGGAATATGCACAGCATGCAAATTATAGCCTGATTCATATTTATTTTCTACTTTACTCAACATATGTCTCAATTTATATATGTAATACTGACAATTTATCCAGCATTTTGTTTTAGTGGTATTTCAGTTCTTATTAACAAAGAAATATTTGTATTAGATCATTTAAAATTGTGTAATCATATGTGATAGAGTGAAAGTAAAATGTTTTATATACATAGTATGTAGACTTTTATTACAAGTTCTTAACATGATTCAACAAACATGTTAGTGGCTCTACACAGAGAAAACCATGAACAGAGAACATATTGTCTACTGTCACATATATTTAAAAACTTATTCATGTCATAGTGTGTTTGTAAAAATTATAGTAAGATATTTTTTCCTAGAAATGTATTTAAATGACAGTTTAAGTCTTCTTTTGGATTAGTCTTTTCAAATATTTGTAAATGCAATCTATGTAGTATACTACATAGTTTAGATACTCTATTTTCAGTCCTCTTGTAATTATTAGAGTAGTCAATAGAGACTTTTTCTGATGAAGTACTGTATTAATTATTTCAGGATGATATGAAACAAACTGTTGGATATGGAGTACTTTCATACTTATGCCATTCAACAGGCACACAGATTGAACATTGTATTCTGAGTCAGATGTTGGCCATAATTATTAGGAAGCAGAAACAGGATTCATCATAGAAAACTTTGAAATAAACTTCAGAATTTCTTCACATGTTCTTTATACTCCTAAATACACATGAACATAATCCCTCTGCTTCTGAATGAAATACATCACTCCACAGGTGTGATTGCCAGTACTTACCTATAGCAAGATATATAATTCTTAATAATAGAACTTAATCCCATGTCTCAAAGTGTGTTCAATAAATTTTGGGTTTTCTATTACTTATATTTTTGCCAATAACATATTAAACAGATACTGTGATACATTTTCTCCTTCCTTAAATCGACAAGCCAACAGTATCAATAACAGCTATCATTTATCTAGATTTTAGCAGGTGCTAAACTGGACACAGTGGCACTAACAAAAGCAATGATGTTACCAGAGGGAGTAGATGTTAACTGTGTCTCTGCAGAGTATATGATGAGTTAGAGGCACAGGGATACTTGTTATAAGGCTCAAAGTTGTTCTTACAAGTGAATAAACTCTGAGTTTGCAACACTTGACATATGGCAACAGAGTTTACTTAATTATCCATTGCCCTATTCTCTAACTTTATATAATCTGTCTGGGTTTTCTAGACTCCATTCTTAGGGAAATTGGAACTCACTATTTAGTCACATTAGTTACTGCATCCCATTTTCTACTGGTTGACACTTAACCCCCAAACAGTAGTATGCTACTGTTTGTAGTGCGTGACAGTAAACATGAAAACATAAAAGGCATTGTCAGCAGAATACAGTTAGATCTGCACTACCAATCTTTAAATTAAAAAATAAATTTACTTATTTTATGTATGATTTTTTTTCTGCATGTATGTATTTGTACTGTGTGTATGCCTAGTACTCATGGAGAAAGCATCAGAAGAAAGTATCAGATAATCTGAAACTAGAATTTTAGATGTTATAACCCACTATGGGTATTTGAACTGAACCTGGGCTTTCTGTAGAGTAACAAGTGCTCTTATTCACTGACTGTCTTCCAGCACCTGCACTAATAGTCTGGTAGGTTGCTAATTGAAAAGGATTCTGGAATCCTTGCATTTAATTCTTCTCAATTTCTGCATGAAATTTGAGGCATATTTATTATTACATTTAGAAAAAGACTCAGACACTTGTCTTTCCATAGTTAGTCTAGATTATTCTCTTTAATATGCTCATTTTGGAAATGTTTACCCACAATTTTCACCTGAACGATCAATTGCCTCTGTATCTGATTTCAGTTTTTATAATTTCAGTTTCCTTACATAGCTTATTCTAAGTGGTCTGAAAACACAAAAATCTAACTTGCATTTACTAGTTTAAACTGCTCAGAAAAACTGGGACAGAGAGTTATGAATCCCTAATGAAGGCAATGGTGTAATGAACAGAATTTTGGCTATTTGAAATGCCCAAGGATCATATGAAGTAATTGATAAAGATATAAATGGGCTAAATAATTCATTAATTATAGATGATATTTAAATTCAGTCCTCATAAAATTCAATGAAAGAACTTTGAATACTGGAAATCCTTTGAGATGTGGTGGTACCACAATCTAATAGCAATGAGCTGGATGGTTGTAGAAATCATTACAGCAAATACATCCATCCAAACAAAGACTCTATTAATCAATACACAGAGTCTATTCATATTCTAGAGGATTCCTCAAAAGCAGGAGCCTTGCCACTGCTTTTTATTGTTGGTAATTGTGCTAAAATTGATGTTTTAAACAAGTAGAATATGGTATAGAACGTCACTGATATTTTTCTTTAATGTTTTTCTTATAATAAGTAACTTTTACATTACACTTTTTAAATATAGAGTGATGGGTTTCATCATGCCATCTTCACACATGAACCTTTACAATTTTCTTGCATTGTTATCGTTTTTGGCCTTTTCCACTTCAGCTGCTTCTTTTGCTTTCTCTTATTTGTTCCTACTTGCTTTGTTTCCTTATCATACACAGTCTATTAATCTTCCTATTTGTTAACTCTATACAAAATCTCTTTAATAATGCATCTTATGGTTTAATAAAATAAGAACAATACAACCCCAAAGGAGTAGATGGCACAAATATAACTAATGACAGGAATGAATGAAATGGAGAGAACAATACATAGATTTGATGAAGTAGGTAGGTTGTTCTTGGAAAAGTAAGAATGGCAATATAGATAAAACCCTAACTAAACTGTCCACTGCATCTTGACATATGACATTATATTTCCAGGCTCAACAAAATCCTCTTAAGGGAAGGAGTTATTGGAAGAGAAACAGAAATTATTATTAAATATATACTGGAGGTTTACCCATGGAATAGATAATGATGTGGTATATGCCATAGTGAACTGATGGTCATGATCTATACATCATGGCAAGATATGTTCTGGAACTTTAATCAATAAAACAAGACTTGTATAAGGGTTAATGGGACAGAGAACCAATATCACAGAGTTTGTTCTTCTGGGCCTCACTCAGGACCTTGCTGGGCAAAAAGCATTATTTGTTATGTTTTTACTCATCTACATTGTGACAATAGTGGGTAACTTGATCATCGTTGGGACAATCATTGCTAGTCCATCCTTAGGAACTCCAATGTACTTCTTCCTTGCTTATCTGTCACTTCTGGATGCTATTTATTCCACTACAATTTCACCCAAGTTGATGGTAGACTTGCTGTGTGACAGAAAGACTATTTCCTTTCCTGCTTGCATGACTCAACTCTTTTTGGAACACCTACTTGGTGGTGCTGAGGTCTTTCTTCTGGTAGTGATGGCCTATGATCGTTATGTGGCCATCTGCAAACCACTGCATTATTTGATCATCATGAATCGGCGGGCTTGCTTCCTCCTGTTGGTGGTGTCCTGGGCTGGCGGCCTTGCACATTCTGTGGCTCAACTTCTCTTTGTATACAACCTGCCCTTCTGTGGTCCCAATATCATTGACCATTTTATCTGTGACATGTACCCATTATTAGGACTTGCATGCACTGATACGTACTTCATTGGCCTCACTGTAGTTGCCAATGGTGGAGCAATATGTATGTTAGTCTTTATCATACTCATAATCTCCTATGGAATCATCCTAAGATCTCTTAAGACTCACAGTCAGGAAGGGAGGCGCAAAGCCCTGTCCACCTGCAGCTCCCACATCATGTTGTCCTCTTTTTTGTTCCCTGTATTTTCATGTACGCTAGACCTGTTTACAACTTTTCTATTGATAAATCCATTACTGTTTTTTATACAATTATTACTCCTATTTTGAATCCTTTAATATATGCCTTAAGAAATTCAGAGATGAAAAAGTCTATGGAAAATCTATTCTGCAGAGTTTTATCTACGATAGAATAAGAATGTCTTCTTACTGAATGTGTTAGTAAGTGTAAGGTAAATAACAGGAAGTAAGTTATAAGCATGGGACCAATTCAATGTATCTATATGGGTGAATTTCTTTAAAGAAATCCATAAGAAACAAAATATTACAATCACATGAGATTAAAAATAAGTTGATGGCCATACCACCCTGAATGTGACCGATATTATCTCAGATTAAAAACAATTTAATAGATAATTTCTGGATATTAATAAAGGATATAAAGCTTAGTCTATTAAAAGAAAACTATGCTCAGTGAATTTATTTTTTTCTTAGTTAAGATGAAAATATGTGTTAGAATAAAATTATTCTTTTTTTTTTGTCCAGAGAAGAAAAGACATTTTAGTCTACATGTCACCATTCATACCATTGGTAATAGATACATTTCTGGAATCAATGAGATGCCTAGAAATTGAATAGCTGATTATAAGTAAAGCTAATTACATAGCTATATGCTTATTGTTTTAGGCTTACTATTGTTGCTTACATCAGTGCCTTTTTCTTTCTAGTTTATAGTACTTGGTCAGTAGATAAAATTTGTTTAATACCAAAAACAATGGACAGTTTTATTAGTTGGTCTGTTGTTCATGATAACAAAATATTCTAATTTGTAACCACAGAGAAACACACACAGCCAAATTGTGAATATATTTTTAATTATACTTAATAGTAAATAATGCATTTCAACTTTCCATTTAAAGAATAAGTATGTCTCATTGTTTTAGTCATGATCTGAACAAATAGTAAAGAAATGATTTCCATAAACATAATATTTCCTAAGTTGTAGTAAATTTCACTATTTGTGACAAATTTTGAAATTAGTTATTTTGGTATAGTCAATATTTTGCTGATCAATTTATAAAAGAAAACAAGACTCATCAGTCTGAAGTCATCTTGGAGATCATAAAAAATATTACTAACAAATTTCCTTTTCTTGTACTATAGAAACTTGTGCTTCACTTGTACTGGTATTATATTTTAAATAAATCTTGATGCAATAAATAAATACAGATAGTTAAAAAAATTCTTGAGTAAATTAGTTCTCATCATCTCATGTATATACCCATATTTTCTGCTTTTGTATAACAGCATCAGTCTGACAGACATGTAATATGTAAATATATGTTATACTTAATACATTTAATATATGTATATTAAACATATAATACATAATATATATACTTAAATGTATTACACACATACACACACATATATATGTATTTTTGTGTCTATCTATATCTATATCTATATTATCTATATCCCTTAGTCAGATGATAAATATAGCAGGTACAGATTTATGGGATGAGGAAGCCAACAGATCTAATGTATCATATTATGCTTACTTTCTTAATTATAATGGATCTTAGTACTGTGACTATTTTTAAAAGTTATAATTTCTTTAAAATTTATTCTTTGCCCACACAATACATCCCAACCACAGTTTCATCTCTTGGTTATTCCCCTCACCTCTCCTCTATACAAGATTCACTTCTCCTTCATATCCCTTCAGAAAAGAGAAAGCCTCTCAGGGATATCAACTGTGGACTGCATAACAAGTTACATTAAACTAGGTACAAACCCTTAAATCAAGGCTGGAAAAGACAACCCAGTAGGAATAAAAGGGTCCTAAGAGCAGTCAAAAGAGCCAGAGTTATCCCTACTCCTTCTGTTAAGATTTTCACAAGAACACCAAGCTACACAACCATAATATACATGTAGACAAGCAAACTAATACCCATACAGGCTCCATGGTTGTTGTTTTAGTTTCCATGAGCCCCTATGAACCCTGCTTAGTTGATTCTAAGGGTTGAATCTTCTGGTGTCTTCCTCTCCTTTAGGTTCCTCTACCACTTCCACAGGGTTTCTGAGCTCTGACTAATGTTTAGTTATGGTATTCTTCATAAGTTTCCATCAGTTGCTGGATAAATCTTTTCTGGTGGTATATGTACCTATCTATGAATATAGCACAATGTCATTAGGAATCATTTTATTGATTTTTTTTGCCAGTCCTGTTTGGTTCTATCCTAGGTCTCTGGGCTATTTAGCCTCTGGTTCCTGGACACCCGGGCAGTGTTAGACATGGGCTCAAGTGGGTCTCAAGTTAGACCAGTCACTGGTTGGTCACTTCAACTATTCTGTGCCACCATTATCCCAGCATATCTTACAGACAGGACAAATTGTAGGATGCAATTATTTGGCTAGGTTTATGTCCTTGTTCTACCACTTGAAGCCTCACTGGTTAGCGAAGATATCCAGTTCAAGATCCATATCCCCCATTAATAGGAATCTGTGCTAGAGTCACCCTTGTAGATTCCAAGGAGTTTCAACTATACTCCATTTCCACATCATTCCACAAATGCACCCCCAATTTTAGTCTTTCTCCTAGTGTTCTCTCCCTCCATCCACTCTCCCCTCACCTGATACCTCTTGTTGTCATACTCACATGCCCCAGTCTTGCTTACACAATATTAGTTCATTTATACATCATTTAGCTTCTTAACTGAACTATTGCTAAAATTATTAAAAATTCTTTCTTTTACCTTCTTAATATAATTTTTGCATCTTTATTCAAGATTAATTCTGATGCCAAACTTTCTGTCAAATACACTTAAAAATAATTTAACTATTAACATGTGTATTCTTAAAATACACCCTTACTGATTTGACTTTAGTTTTACAGAAAATAGAATTTTTTTATTTTATTTTATTTTATATAACAAAGTCCAATTAAATGAAAACAAACATTTATACAGAATATTTGGGAATTTGGGCGTCGTTCTTTCCAAACTACTTCCTGCTGGTAAGGGGTACTGTCATGGGGGATTTGAAGAAGATTCAGAAATCCTGGCTGTAGTCTGTAGGGCTGCTTTGTCCAGCTATTTTGAATGTAGGATCACCTTGTACTCTATTTGAGGCGGTCTGCCGTGATCAAGCCACATTAGTCTAGAAGGAATCCACATCTTTTCATTTTCTGTGGAAACGAAAATAGAAATCCCTTTCCCCAGTAACTTGTCCTTCAACTTAAATTTTGGAGTCAAAGCATTTTTTTTAATTTATTATTTTACATGTCCATCCCAGTTCGCTCTCCCTTCCTCCTTCCCTCCCTCCCTCCCTTTTACCCTCTCTGCCCTTTCACATGCACTCTAACCACCCTCCCCTCCCATCCACCCACCCCAATTCCATATGTAGGGCAATGTCATCCAGTTGGGGTCATGTAGATCTGACAGGTCATGTGAAGTAGGGACTAGGGCTTCTCTCCTGTCTCTAGATTAAGGCAGTTATCCCTCCATGGGGGATATGTTCACAAAGTCCTTTTGTGCACCAGGGATACCGCATGGCTCCACTGTCTGAGGTCTCTTAGACTGCTCAGTCCTTCTGGCTGAGACCCATATTCAGGGGGGCCTGAGTCAGTCCCATGCTGGCTTCCCAGCTATCAGCCTATAATTCATATCACCAGAGGAACTAGGATACAAGGTGTATTCTAAGAGATTCATATAAAGTCCCTCACAGAACTGGGAAGGGACAAGTCCCCCAGAGCTCAGGGGAAGTGGTGGGGAGGCAGCGAATGGTGAGAGAAGTAGGAGAAAATGAAGGGGAGGAAAGGAAAACATGTGCGACCAGGAAGATTGAGCCTGCTTAGGAATAGAAGATAGGAAAGAAAGAAAGAAAGACAGAGACATAGAGAGAGAACATAAAAGAGGGAGCCAATATTGGTTTGAAGATAAAATTGAACACAAAGAATGGTCTAGAGAACTACAAGACTGCTCCCAACTAACAATTTGAGCTTCCGTGGAAAGGCTATCATAAATGCCCTTCCCAGAGAGTGAGATTAACAACTAACTTCTCCATGGAGCCCTCAACTAATGCCTGTTGAAAACAGGATCAAACACCCAAACATAAACACTGAGTCGAACTAGAACCCAGATGCAGATGGAGAGGACAATACCATGCAGCAGAAACACATACAGACAGCTTACCTGAACAAGGAGGAGCTAATGGCCACTAGAAAATAGAATTTTTATATAATATATTCTGATTATCGTTGTTCCTCTCCCAATACCTCCAATGTCCTTCTCAGCTCCTTTTCTATCCAAAATCACATTTTCTCCACCCCTCATTATAAAACAAACAGGTGTTTAAGATGAACAAACAAGGGAAAAATATAATAAAATAAGATGAAATAAAATTACACAAACCTTAACAGGAAAATTAAACAAACAAATGAGAAACAAGTAACAACAACAACAACAAAAAGCCCAAAAAAAAAAAAAAAAAAGCACAAAAAAATATTTAGGGACACAGATAAACTCACAATTATGCACAAAATTTCTCTAAAAGCAGAAAATAGAAATAATATATAAGGAAAAAAAAAACTTGAAGGTAAAGATAAAAAGTACAGTTTTGGCTCTGCTGGGTCCTTGCTTGAGGTGAGTCTTGGCCGGCTCAGGTAAAACACCCCCATTCTCTCTTTGGAACTTCCTAGGTCGGATCTGTGAATATTGGATCCACCCTTCCATGTAGGTCCATCCTCAGTCTGCCCTCACCAGACCCATTGGCTCTTTTGCTTTTCTGCTTGAGGTGAGTCTGGGTCCAAGTCAGATTGAACCCCTCCCACATCCTTTCCTTGGAACTTCCTGGGTCAGCTCTCCAATTTGACACCTCTATGCTCTATGCTTGAGTGTTCCCACCCTTGCACACCAAATCATCCAGAGGCTTCCCTCCCACATCCTTTGCTCTGCTGCAGCCTCTGCTTGAGAGACTTAAAGAGGTCTGGATCATTCTGAGTTACTGACACTTTAGTCCTGACCCACCTATACCAACCTAACCATCAGGAGAGGATAGGAGAGAGACCCCACCTGCAACCACTAGAAGAAGCAATGGGAAGACAGCAGTACAAGAAAACATTCAACAATAGAAAGACCAGTATGACACCACAGAATCTAGGGGACTATACACCAACTAGACAGGAACACACCAAGGCAGATGAAGCATAAG